GCGAAATGGACAAATTTCTAGAAACACACAGTCTCCCAAAACTATTCCCGGAAGAGATAGAAAACTTGAACAGACCAATAACAACTAAGGAAATTGAAGAGGTAATCAAGACTCTCCCAGCAAACAAAAGCCCAGGCCCAGATGGTTTCACAGGGGAGTTTTACCGAACATTCAAAAAAGAATTAACACCCATTCTCCTCAAACTATTTCAAAAAATTCAAGAAGAAGGAAGACTTCCAAACTTGTTTTATGAAGCCAGCATAATTCTAATTCCAAAACCAGGAAAAGACAGTACAAGGAAAGAAAACAACAGACCAATATCCCTGATGAACATAGATGACAAAATCCTGAACAAAATACTAGCAAATTGGATCCAGCAATACACCAAAAAATTATTCACCATGACCAAGTGGGATTCATCCCAGGGATACAAGGCTGGTACAATATTCACAAATCAATAAACATGTTATACCACATAAACAAAATGAAGAATAAAAAACACATGATCATATTAATAGACACTGAAAAAGCATTTGACAAAATCCAGCATTCATTTCTGATAAAATTGCTCAGCAATGTGGTAATAGAGGGATCATATCTTGACATAATAAAGGCCATATATGAAAGACCTACAGCCAACATCATACTCAAAGGGCAAAAACTAAAAGCATTTCCCTTAAGAACGGGAACAAGGCAAAGATGCCCACTTTCGCCACTCTTATTTAAAATAGTACTGGAAGTCTTAGCCACAGGAATCAGACGGGAAGTAAAAATAAAAGGATCCAAATGAGAAAGGAGGAAGTGAAATTCTCATTATTTGCAGATCACATGATACTATACGTAGAAAACCTCAAAGACTCCATCAAAATTTACTAGACTTAATAAATGAAATTGGCAAAGTAAGCAGGATACAAAATTAATGTCAAGAAATCAATGGCATTCTTATACACCAATGATGAACTCACAGAAAGAGAAACTAAGAAAACAGTCCCATTTACCATTGCGGCAAAAAAATTAAGATACCTAGGAATAAACTTAACCAAAGAAATAAAGGACCTATTCACAGAAAACTACAGGTCATTGAAAAAAGAAATAGAGAAAGATATAAAAAAGTGGAAGCAATATACCTTGTTCATGGATGGAAAGAATGAACATCATTAAAATGTCAATACTACCCAAAGCAATCTATAGATTCAATGCAATCCCCATCAAAATACCAATGACATACTTTCCAGAATTAGAATAAATAATTCAAAAGTTCATATGGAATCAAAAAACACCTCGAATAGCTACAGCAATCTTGAAAAAGAAGAAGAAAGTAGGAGGGATCACATTATCAGATTTCAGGTTATACTGCAAAGCCACTGTAATCAAAACAGCCTGGTACTGGCACAAGAACAGGCATATAGACCAGAGGAACAGAACAGAGAACCCAGAAATGTACCCAAGGCAATATGCTCAATTAATATTTGACAAAGGTGGCAAGAGCATACAATGGAGTAAAGACAGCCTCTTTAATAAATGGTGCTGGGAAAATTGGACAGCTACATGCAGAAAAAATGAAACTAGACCATCAACTTACACCCTACACAAGAATTAACTCAAAATGGATGAAAGACTTAAATGTGACTCATGAATCCATAAAAATCCTAGAAGAAACTGTAGGCAACAAAATTTCAAACATCATACGCAGCAGAATTTTCACTGATACATCACCTAAGCAACAGAAACAAAGGAGAAAATGGACACATGGGACTACATCAAACTCAAATCTCCTGCACAGGGAAAGATACAATCACCAAAATGGAAAGGCTACCCACTGTATGGGAGAGCATAATTGCCAATGATATATCAGATAAGGGGTTAATTTCCAATATATATAGAGTGCTTATACAACTCAACAAAAGGAAGACAAAGAACCCAATTAAAAAATCGACAGAGAGCCCCTGGCCGGTTTGGCTCAGCGGTTAGAGTGTCGGCCTGAGGTCCTGAGAGACCCCGGTTCGGTTCCCGCTAAGGGCATGTACCTCGGTTGCAGTTTGTCTCCGGCCCTGGTCGGTTGTGTGGGCGGCAGCCACTCGATGTGTCCCTTTCACATCGATGTTTCTCTCTCTCTCTCTCTGTTCCTCCCCCCCCCCCCCCAACTCTACCTGAACAAAAAATGGAAAAATGTCCTCGGGTGAGGATTAAAAAAAAAAAAAATGGACAGAGTAACTAAATAGACACCTCTCCAAACAGGACATACAAATGACTAAGAGACATATGAAGTAATGCTCAAAATCACTAATCATCAGACTGATGCAAATTAAAACAACAATGTGGTATCACCTCACACCTGTCAGGATGGCTGCCATCAACAAATCATCAAACATCAAATGTTGGTGTGGTTGTGGAGAAAAGGGTACTCTAGAATACACAGCTGGTGGGATAGCAGTCTGGTGCAGCCACTATGGAAAACAATATGGTGTTACCTCAAAAAATTCAAAATTGAACTGCCATTTCACCCAGTGATCCCACTTCTAGGAATATATCCTAAGAAGCCTGAAACACCAATCAGAAAGAATATATTTACCCCCATGTTTGTAGCAGCACTATTTACAATAGCTAAGATCTGGAAACAGCCCAAATGTCCCATCAGTAGACGAATAGATAAAAAAGCCATGGTACATGCCCTGGCTTGTTTGGCTCAGCAGTTAGAGCATTGGCCTGCAGTCCCGAGAGACCTGGGTTAGGTTCCCACTAAGGGCATGTGCCTCTATTGCTGTTTGTCTCCAGCCCTGGTTGGGTTGTGCGGGTGGCAGCCACTCGACGTGTCCCTTTCACTTTGATCTCTGTCCCTCTCTCTCTCTCCCTCTCTCTCTCTCTCTCCCTTCCTCTCTATCTGAAGAACAAAATGGAAAGGAGTTCTCAGGTAAGGATAAAAAAAAAGTGTGGTACATATATACAATGCAGTACTATGCAGCTGTAAGAAAGAAAGATCTCTTATCCTTTGAGACAACATGAGGGACCTGGAAAGTATCATCCTAAGCGAAACAGGCCAAATAGAGAAAGGCAAGTATCTTATGATCTCACTTATTTGTGGAATATAATGAACAAAACAGTCTGAGGAATGGGGTAGTCCCAGAGACGTGGAAGTGGGGTATAGACTAACAATCCCCAGAAAAGGGGGTGATGGGGGAGAGATAAACCACAGAACTTATATGCATGTGCACTAGAACAATGGACATGGACTACAAAGCTGGGGACAGGGAAGGGAGTGGGAGGGGGGAATCAGTGGAGGGAAAAGGAGAAACATCTGTAACAAAAATAAATTAATTAATTAAAAAAGAAATAAGAAATACAGCAGTTTGTATAACAAATGCAAATCTTGATCTTGTATCCCAGTGGTTAAAACAATCCTTAACCATTTAATGTAAGTTTAAAATGTTATATTAACCCTTCGTAAAATAAAAACAGAAATTTCTGACCATTTAAACAAGTCTCATTAAATATACATTAAATATACTTTTAAACTATACTTTTGAAAGATAGCCCCTGAAGTACATGTTAGCAGAATCTGGCTTAATCAGCACATAACGAGAGAACTGGCAAAGGGTTGTCATGCTGATAAAATGGTGTACTATTTTCCTCTTGATTAGGAGGGGGAAGAATGCCAGAGAGATTGTGAGAGAATTCTCAGGAGTCAGTTGTGACAGAGGATGGATTGCAGAGAGATGTTTTGAGAGTGAAGTAATTTAGCAATCTCTTCCTTTCTGAATATGGCATCAACCAATCTCTGCTGAAATTTCTTCAGTATAATTTGGTGTTCTCCTGGCCAGCGTATTTATTTCTGTAATTCTCATTTTACTGTTACGCATTCTTACTTACTGCTATCCATTTTTTTATATTGAGATACAATCCACATATAACATTGTATTTGTTTTAGATGTACAACATAATGACTGGATATTGCTAAATGATTAGCACAATAAGTTTAGTTAACATCACCACACAGTTACATTTTTTTCTTTGTGAGAACTTTTAAGATCTACTCTCTTAGCAACTGCTATCTATTTTAAAGTTTAAAAAGTTCTAAAGCATCAGGGAACAACTCAAAAAACTTAAGATACATATTTTTAATCAGCTAAATATACTTTGTTTCATCATTTGCCAAGGATATAATTAAATCCTTTTTCACAAAGTATGTATGGCTCAATTAAGCAAGCTTCATTTGGGGGAAATAAAGGGAGATCCCCCCACATTATGTTTGGTCCTAATTAGCCCTACCTCTGTCACAATATATTCAACACAGCTCAACTGTTGGTGATATTGTCCTTTTGCTTTATGTTTTTTCTTTTCCTCAAATTTGTTGGAATACCAAGAAAAAGTCCATGACCTTTCTCAAATCATACATTTAATAATTTACATTTCTAGGTTGCAAGACTTTTAGTCTTATCATTCCTCCATCAAATGTATAAAGTGTTTGGCATATACGTATCTTTGTAGCCTGCACTGAGTTCAAACTCATTTCTTAATAGAAGGAATGCTTTCTTTTCAGCTTTTAAAGAAAGTACATTATTTGAATTTAAGGAAGGTTTAGAAGAATATTTTATAATCTATGTAAAATAAAATGTTCTCACCTTATTGCACATAATGGCCACTTTAGGTAAATAGTCCTAAGTAATTTTTATGAAATTTGTTGATATGATGGAATGCTAAAGTCTCATTAAAACAAAATTTGTTTCAGGACAAGTCATTTGTATTAGGTCACTATTGTTTTCGAATAATGATTTTGAATACTAATAATGTTTTAGGAGATAAATTTACATTATTAAGAAAACATGATAATGAAAGTATCTTTTTTAAAGAGTTCTTTAAAATGTTTTTAAATTGTTTAATTATTTACCCTTCTATTTCATTTTTGGTGACAGTTTTATTTGGTCCAGCTAAGCAGTTAAACATCACAGAACATGCCTAATCATTGTGTGTTTTCTTCATTGTCGGTTTATTTCTTATTGTAGATAAAAAATATAAATAAACTGGCAGAAGTTTCCAAAAACAATGCCTTACAGTTAAGTGAGAAACTGTGGAACATGAAAAACCAAAGTGAATCTGAAGAAGGAAACATAAATCTTTTCATTAAAAAACTGGAAAAGTTTCTATTAGGTAATTTCTTTTGAAAAATTAGGACTAGTTTTGGGGGTTTTTTTTGTTTTTGTTTTTTATATATACTCAAACATCACAACCAATTCCAAAAAACATTAATTGGAAATGACATGCCTAATCCAGGAACATAATAAACCCCTTGATTTAAAAGTTGGTTTTTTTTTATCTTTATTGTTGAATGTATTACAGATGTTCCACATTTTTCCCCCATTGACCCCCTCCTCCACACTCCCGCCCCCCTCCCACCTTTTCCCACACTATTGTCTGTGTCCATTGGTTATGCATATAAGTTCTTTGGTTTATTTCTTCCCAACCCCCAACCCCCTTCTCTTTGAGGTTTGTCAGTCTAGCAACCAATTTGTTCTTCTTAATCCCTTCACCTTTTTCATCCATTCCCTCAACCCCCCTCCCATCTGGGAACCAACAAAATGTTCTCTGTATCTATGAGAATGATTCTGTTCTGCCTATTCATTTTGTTTGTAGATTCCATTGTTGATAGATATGTGTTCATTGCCATTTTGTTTGTTCATATATTTTATCTTTTCCTTCAAAAAGACCCTTCAACATTTCATATAATAACGGTTTGGTGGTGATGAACTCCTTTAACTTTTTCTTGTTTGGGAAACTCTTTATATGGCCATCGATTCTAAATGACAGTTTTGCAGGATAGAGTAATCTTGGTTGAAGGTTCTTGCTTTTCATCACTCTGAATATTTCTTGCCACTCCTTTCTGGCCTGTAACATTTCTTTTGTGAAATCAGCTGACAGTCTTATGGGAACTCCCTTGAAGGTAACTAACTGCTTTTCTCTTGCTGCTTTTAAGCTTCTCTCTTTGTCTTGAACCTTTTGCATTTTGATGATGATGTGTCTTGGTGTGGGCCTCTTGGGGTTCATCTTGTTTGGGACTCTCTGTGCTTCTCTGTTTCCTTCACCAAGTTAGGGAAGTTTTCTGCCATTATTGTTTCAAATAGGTTTTCGATTTCTTGTTCTCTCTCTTCTCTTTCCGGCACCCCCAAGATGCGAATGTTGACACGCTTGAAGTTGTCCCAGAGACTCCTTACACTATCCTCATTTTTTTGGATTCTTTTTTGTTTTTGCTGTTCTGATTGGGTGTTTTTTGCTTCCTTGTATTCCAAATCAATGGTTTGGTTCTTCGCTTTACCTACTCTACTATTGAATCTGTGTAAATTATTCTTGATTTCAGTTAGTGCCTCCTTCATTTCTGACTGTTTTTTTTTTAATGCTCTTGAGGCCCTCACTAAGTTTATTGAGCATCTTTATAAGCAGTATTTTGAACTCAGCATGTGTTAGGTTGCTTATCTCCATTTTGCTTAGTTCTTTTCCTGGAGTTTTGTTCTATTCTTTTATTTGGGACCTGTTTCTTTGTCTCCTCATTTTGGCTGCCTCTCTGTGTTTGTTTTGGTGTTTTACTTAATGAGAGGTATGGGGCTATCTGAGACCAGATGCTGCTTGTTTGAAAGAATTTAGGAAAACATGAGGCAGGATCCAAGACAGGCCAATCCTATGGTTAAGCAAGTGGCAACAGCTTGTGTGGGCCTAAAAGTTGGTTGGTGTGGGGCCTCAGGGAATTACCAGGGTGGGGCAAACAGTGAGCCAGGTTGCTGGAGTCCCAGATATGGCATCTGTCTGCTGCCCCAGGGAAGCGCTCACCAAAGGAACAAAGGCCTCCGACAGCACATCTGTCCTGGAGAAGGCCACCTCTCCAGCCCTTGCTCCAATGCCAAACAGCTCAGTTCTTCCCTGTATGTTTCCGGCGCCCCTCTAGCTGCCTCCCTTCCAAGCGTAGAGGGAGCAAGTCCGAGTAAGTCTGTGCGCGGGCACTTTAAGAGGAGCTGCCTGGGGCTCCAGCCACCTCAGCCTCCCTGAGCCTCAGTTCCCGCTGGTTTTTCCAGCCAGAAGTTATGGGGACTTCTCTTCCTGGCACTGGAACCCTGAGCGGGATGCCTGGTGTGGGATGTGGACCCCTCAGTCCTCAGAGAGGACCTTTCCAGCTGAGGTATCCCTCCTGATTTTTATCTGCCACACGTGGGTGTGGGACCAACCTGTCCGCCTCCACCCCTCCTACCAGTCTCGATGTGGCTGCTTCTTTAATTCCGTAGTTGTAGGACTTCCATTCAGCTTGATTTCAGGCAGTTTTGAATGATGGTTGTTCTGTAGTTTAGTTGTAACTTTGATGTGGTTGTGGGAGGATGCATACCGCTTTTACCTACGCCGCCATCTTGACCGGAAGTCCTGATTTAAAAGTTCTTAATGAAAATAATCTCAAAATATTAAATCTGTACCAAAAAACAAACAAAAATGAAACAAAACATGGCTTTCTGTATAAGATTAATTTAGTAATAAATACTAGAATTTAGTCAAAAAAATTCCAGAAAATGAACTTGGTGTTTAAAGTTATTTTATTTTATTTTATTTTATTTTATTTTTTTAAAAAAGGAATGTCCAACATGATGCCTATATCAGATTCCCTAATATTAGGATTTTATCATTTTCTCTGTTGACAGAGTTTATGAGATCAAGGTATGCTAAATTTTAGTTAGTAAAACAAATATTATAGTTAGGTAGCATCTAAAACATTGGCTATTAATGGTTATTGACTATGTCCCAAGTCTCATATTGCTCTCTATGACTGGCCAGAAGGAGCTCTTTCATTCATTATCATTATGAATTATTATTCACTTATTCCCCATTGTGTCTAATTTTGAGAGAGGCTTATTTTAAACTCTGGAGAATTGTTAGTTGAAGATAAAAATCAAATAATACAGCTGGAAATTGACATAGAACTTTTTCTTTTCTTTAGGTTAATTAAAGTAAAAATTTTATTAGAAATTTATTCAGCATCAATGAGCAATAGGATTAGTATGGGAATAAGCTCTATGACCCAGTGAACTAGGAACTGCATCTCAAATGATGCAGTTTGGGTACAACACTATGGAATTAATTGCAAGAGGCAATGTTTTCTGTGGTTATCTTCCAAATTTAATAATTTAACACTCTGTACATGAATTAATTGACAATTAGGATGTCTGTTACAATCTGGACAATCACTTCATTAATCTGTTTAATACTTATAAGAGGCCCCATGTGGCCAACCAAGTATTTTTTCCAACTCAATATTTCCAGAAATTGTATCAGCAGCTTTTAGTCCTGATTTGCAAGATAAGAAAAATATTAGGCAGTAAAAAGGATCAATAAAAGTGATCAAAATAATCAGTAAAAATGAAAAGGGGTGGAATCTATTGACTGGATATTGTGTTTGTTCAAAAGAAAATTTTCAATAAGTTAGGAACTCATTGATATTGAGGAACACGTTAGCTACCTCTGCAAATACCAGTTAATTTGGCACAAATTAAAACTGCCAGACCAGTTGTATAAAAATAGTGGAATACCGTCCCAAGCCCCAGCAATGGTTCAGAAAGTAATTTCTTGCTTTCTACCTAGTTCACTGGGTCATAGAGCTTATTCCCATACTAATCCTATTGCTCATTGCTGCTGAATAAATTTCTAATAAAATTTTTACTTTAATTAACCTAAAGAATTTTTTTTTAAAGTGTCCAGATTGTTACAATAAAAATTTAACTAGTCAAAGAGAAAAATACTAGTCAATAAAAAAAATTCTCTGATCAGGGTCCCAAGACCCTGGGCCACCAAGAAGCAGTGTGTTTCACCCACCCATTTCTTTTCTTTTCCTTGCTATAAAGCCCAAATAAAATCATCATTAGACTTTATGGTGGCCCCACTAGTCAGTTCTTCTTTGACCATTTTATTTTCCTTGTGGTCTGAATTTCTTATGAACTAAGTTATGTATCATTTCTCCTGAAAGTCCCATATGAAAATTTGAACTTATGATCTCATAATAAAAGTCAACAAATGTTTGATGACTGAATATGTGGTTAAATTAAAACTACTTTTATTGTAACATTTTTACAAAGAGAATTACTATTTTTAAAGAGCCAACTCCCTGATTCCATGTAAAATATTATTTTAATTTATTCATAAAAATGCTTATCACGTTTTTTCCAAAAACATTATAGGAAGTAAAAAATTCCTTTTATATTAAACAAAATAGTTAAAGCAAAAATGATTGCAAAGAGGATATCATTTGTGTCATGCCACTCAAATGCTAAAAATCATTTATGGCTGCCACTGCTTCCTCAACAAAGTTCAAGTTACTTTAGGGACTTCTGTAATCTGCCCCTCCAATTTTAGACACCCACTCTCCCCCCAAGAGTGAGCTGTGGACTGTTTCCTGTGAGCTCCCTCAACTAAGATGCCTTTTACCCCTTCTCACTTCTTCACAGGCTTCATCTCTGCTGTCCTCCAAGACCCGGTTTAAATGTCTTTTTGAAATTCTTTCCGAAGTATTTTCTGCTCCCTCTGGATCCCATATCATTTTGTCTTACATTCATCTCTTCTTTTCTTACATGGTTAGTATTTATATAGAATGACTTATATTTCCCCACCTGATGGTAAACTTCTTGAGGATCAGATCTGTATCCAATTCATTTCTATCCCTGTTGTGCCACAATAAGGAGCCAGACAGGGACAATAGTTATTACCCCAAACACTAACAGTCCCCCTTCCACTTTAGGCCTAAAAGAGGGCCAATTTTATTTTCCTGAAAAGCAGAGCAGAGATGTATTTAAAAGTTTCTTTATGATATATTATTCACATGGTACTTTACTCTGTGTTGTCACATTCCCTTCTCAAAATAGGCCTTTGAGTTGTAGCATCAGTTATAATTACCCAATTATATAAATGAGCAAAACTTGTGAGCCTTTTTAATGTCATGGAGGATTAGAATCCAGTTTTGTTGGGTCCAAACCCAATGCTTCTCCATTGTCTCATTCATTGTGTTTGAATCTTAATGATAGGCATCTAAACATTTTAACTGCTTTTGTCTCTGTGCTTATAATAATCAATATTTGTGAGGACATTTTGTAGAACATACAAATATTCCAAGTCAGTAGTATTTTACTTTTCCAATAAGCATTTGTGAATCATGTATTCAGCCCTACATTAGCAGTATTACTTTCAGAGCAAAGAGAAAATTAAGCATGAAGAAGAATCTAGTATGTAAATAATCTAATTTGTATTCTAGGGACACACAATCAAATGCAAGTGAATTTGATTTAGAATTCATTTTGGCTATACTTAAAAGATACAGTGTTTGATAAGGACCTAAAACCCACATTTTTATTTAAGAGAAAAATGTGCCTCCAGAGGACATAGAGAAGGTTGCAAATTATGTACTTGACATCCACCTGCCAATGACATCACAAAATCCAACCCATAAACCTAACAAATACAGAAATGTATGTAACTCTGTAAGGACTATGAGACAGATGAGGACAAGCTAAATAAAGCAGCAAACGGAGCTCAAAAGATTTTGGTGAAGGCAAAAGCAACTGAGTAAGTATAGTATTAATATTCTCATTTTGCCCTGCCTGAGTGGCTCAGTTGGTTGGAGCATCATCCTGTACACCAAAAAGGATGCAGGTTTGTTTCCCAGTCAGGGCACATACCTAGGCTGTGGGTTTGATACCCAGTCAGGATGCATACAACCCATCATTGTTTCTTTCTCTTTCTCTCTCTTTTCCTTCCTCTCTCTATAATCAATAGACATATCTTTGGGTGAGGAGATATATATATATTTTTTCCTCATCTTTTTCTAATAGGCCAGCTGCTAAAAGGCCATCTAAAAATATTTGCCTAAAAAGCTATAACATTCAAATGAAATTACCTTCCAATAATTTGGTGTCCAAATTGAGAGCTAAGCTGTCTGTGGGGGGCCCCAGAAAGCTGGGAAAATGGAAGGCAGTGTGCAAGGATGTCTTTTTCCCATTCTCCTTAAACTCGGAATGCCTTTCCAATGGTCTGTTACCTCTTTATACCAATGTATACCAATAAATGCCACATGCTAATTATATGCCAATATCTGAACAGGGGGTGGGAATATCAGAGTATTTTTCCCTTGTTTACCTATTTTTGGTACTTTCTAAATTTATGATAGTAAGCAGTACATACTTTGAATATCTAAGTTAAAAAAAGACATTAATAAAAAGATATGATGTTGACTTAGTCAAGCAAAAAGGAAAAGTTATCTTGATGTGTTTTATGGGCATGGGGTGCTGTGGGTCAAGGTCTTAGGGTCAATTGGATGGTGGTAACATCATCAACATCCACCACCATTTGGATGCCCAGCAGACTAGAGACCTGAGCTGCCTTCTCTCTCTCATAATCCACTTATATAAATGAAATGTACCAGACTCAACTGTACATCTAACCCCATGTAGTTTCAATATTTAAAGCTAGAAATAGCAAGTATTGGTAGTAGAATCACATAGCTATTAAAATTGATGTGGATAAAGGATTATATTACAGTATAATGTTAATGCATTTAAAAGAAAATAACAGCCCTGACTGCTGTGGCTCCAGAAGGTCTCAGGTTTGATTCCTGGTCAGGGCACTGCCTGGGTTGTGGGTGGATCCCCTGTTGGGGTGTGGAAGAGGCAACCGATCAATGTGTCTCTTCCATATAATCTCCCTATCTAAAATCAAAATTTTTAAAAGCTTTATAAAAAAAATAAAAGAAGGTAACAGATATATATGGAAGAGGTTCTCAATTATGAAAAGAAAAATTTTTGTAAAATTTTTCAAAAATGCTAGAATATGCCAGTATTTTAAAAGGTGGTAAGATTATTGGTAAATTGTTCTCTTCCTGACTTTTTTCTTCTTCCTTCTCTTCCTTCCCCCTCCCCCCTTCTTCTTCTTCACTTTTTACTTTCTAAATTTACCATAATGAGCAGTGAATTGAAAATCTAAAGGAAAGAACCTACAATAAAAAGATACGGTATTTGTGTGTGGAAAGTGCTCTGAGAAGGGAAGGTTCCTGAACCCCCACTGTAACAACAGGAAAAAAATATATAAACGGGAAGGCTACATCCTGTGTGATTCCAACTACAGAACATTCTGGAAAAGGCAAAACTATAAGGACAGTAAAAAAGATCAATGGTTGCCAGGGATTGAGGGGAGGGATGAATAGGTAGAGCACGAATGAATTTTAAGGCAGTGAAAATACTCTGTATGACACTATAATGATGGATACATGTAATTGTACATCTGTCCAAGTACATAGAATGTACAGCACCAAGAGTGAACCCTAATGTAAACCGCAGACTTTGAGTGATTATAATGTATCAACATAGGTTTGTCAATTATAACAAATATGCCCTCTGGCGAGGCATGTTGATAGTAGGGCGGTGGAGGGGGAGGATGGATGTGCACGCCTGTGTGTGTGTATGTATGTGTGTGTGTGTGTAGGGGTAATAGGAAACCTCTGTACCTTCTTCTAAGTTTCACTGCAAACCTAAAACTGCTCTTGAAAGAAAAGCCTTTTTTTTTAAAGGAAAGGATGGTTTGGATGGGGGAGGGTATGTTTTGTAATTTAGCCCTTTTTGCTTGGGGCACAAGCAGTTCTAATTATGCCACTGCAAAGGTCTGTCTAATATTTCACTCGGTACATTCTTCCAAAGGTGGTTGCAAGGCCATAGATCTAAGTAGATGATGAATGTTGACTTGAGGTGAGCTCATTTCTAGAAAATCACCTATCACTTGGAATGCTTGTGATTTTAACCTCTGACTGGGCCCCTGGGCAGCTGGAATGTCAGTGAAGCTTAAATAAACCTGAATAAACACAGACTGAAAATGTGGGGCCTTTGGTTCTCTTTGCTCTCTGTGGAACCTCTTGACTCTCTCACCTCGACTCCAATAAAGAGTTAGAAACTGTTGCTGAAGTTTGAGAAATTACAGAACAGGATTTGGCTGAGGATAGTTTTTTATTCAAAGCTTTGCAGTTAGGTACCCCAAACATCTCTGCTTATGACAAATTAAGAAAAAATAAGATCTGTAGCCTTGATGTCCCTATCTGGTGAAATCTGTTTCTGCACATGCATATGTATGTGTTTTTATTGGCATTTAATATGCCTCTTTCTCAAAATAAAGACTCCAGCACTTTACCTTGCTTAAGAGTTTATATTTACTTTATAAATATTTCAGTACAATTTTTTGGTTGAGTCGAATGAATTCTCAAGGTAAAATTTATGAATAACTGCATATTTACTTAATCCTATATGTTAATATTTTACCTTAGGAAAGCAGCAAATGGTCTACAAAATCCTGAAAAAAATGTTGAATAAGTTGCAAAAAATTCAAATCACTCAAGGACGGACAAATTCTACTATCATACATTGACTGCCAAGATGACAAAAATAAAAAAGAATGCACTGCATATTTCTCTACTTTCTTTTAAACTAACCTGAAATAGATTTTGGGTGTGAAAACAGCCCAGTTTTGCATATACCAATGTCACACTTGCCTTACTTGTCTGGAGATTATTATAAGGATAAAATAAGATAATGGTAACTACACATTTAATGCTCTACAGAGCTCTCCCAGCATCATTTCATTTCATTGTTGACCAATCCTAGGGGATAAAGCAGGTGCTACTGCCAGCTTATAAATGAGAAATTAAGAATCAGGGAGGTTAAGTGACTTGCCTAAAGCCACACAGATTATTAAAGGTAGATTTGAGGCCAGAGTTTATTCCTTCTGATTCCAGAGATAAAAAAAATAGACTATTGCCCTGGCCAGTTTGGCTCAGCGGTTAGAGCGTCGGCCTGTGGTCCAGAGAGACCCGGGTTCGGTTCCCGCTAAGGGCATGTACCTCGGTTGCAGTTTGTCCCCGGCCCTGGTTGGTCGTGCGGGTGGCAGCCACTCGATGTGTCCCTTCACATCGATGTTTCTCTCTCTCTCTCTTCCTCTATCTCCTTCCCACTCTAGCTGAACAAAAAATGGAAAAATGTCCTCGGGTGAGGATAAAAAAAAAAAAAAAAAATAGACTATGTATTTATTTATTTATTCATTCATTCATTCATTTATTATTTTAATCTTCACCGAGGATATCTTTTTTTTATTTTAGAGAAAGGCAAGAGAGAGAGAAAACCATCAATGTGAGAGAGAAACATTGATCAGTTGCCTCCCATACGTAGCCCCAATCAGGGATTGAACCCCCAACATTTTGGTGTATGGGATGATGCTCCAACTAACTGAGCCAACCTGACCAGGGCATACACTCTTTAAAGCTCACAAACCAAAGAAATAAAGTTAATTGTTGCCAGCTGTTTATAACTAAATGTGCATAAAATCTCATCAGAGTATTCTTAAACTAGAAGAATACCTTACCCAAAAGAAAGGGTTCCATCCAGTTTGGAGGGAGCAAGACCATGGTTTAACACATGTAGTGGATCTAGTAGAGGAAGCCTGGCAACTGGATGACAGAACAGGACCTAGTCCCAGGGTGTGTGAAGTCTCTTTCTCCAACCTCCATCCTAGTACATCCCCTTCCCAGCAGATTGCAAGTTACTCAGTCTCTGTTCTTCAGCTGTGTTTTATAGCTCTCAATACAGGCATCTTGAAAAGAGAAGCAGAAAGCAACAGAACAAGAAGTAGTGCACCAGAAAATGGAAGGGTTGAATATGAAGAGGTTACATACACAGGGTAACAAAAGAATTAAGAAGACCTGCAGGTTTTCCTCCTTCTAGGCATATTCTCTACAACAGGGGTGAACAAAATATAGCTCCTGGGCCAAATCGGCACACCAAGTGTTTCTGTCTCCAAAATTACAAAGTTTTATTGGAATACAGCCACATGTGGTCTATGGCTATTTTTGTGGCACAGAATTGAATAGGTGCAATAGAGATTTATGAATTAGAAAGTGTAAAATATTTACTATTTGGCCCTTTACAAAAAAAAAAAAAAAAAAATTGCAGATACCTGATCTAGAGAAACTCTGACATATGCTCAAGGGCACAGGAAGGGACTTCTATTTCTAAAAATATGGTAGACCAGTACCCCAGTGAACCCTCCTAGTAGGAAAACAAAAATGTTAGATGGGATATTTAAAAAAAAATTTTAAATGCATAGCTGAATTAGTAAAAAACAAAGGAAATCCTCCGGCACCAAAAATGACAGGAAAACATGAATACAGAAAGGTAATTAAGCATGAACCGGACAGCAGAGGGCATCTGCTAATCTCTGGTGTATTAGAGCTGTTAGTTTCAATAGTCATCATGCGTAATAAACAGAAAATGAAGCCCACAGAAGGAGGGAATAAGCCCCCTGTATAGAGCTGAGGCCTCAAAAGGTAAAATCTTCAGTGAGCTGTTAAAGTAGAGAGAGAGAGAGAGAGAGAGAGATCAATAAAGGCACTTGCCTCTTGCCTCTGGGTGGAGGAGGAAAGTCTTCACTAAAAATTACTAACCACAAGCTAGCTCTCACAGGAGTTTGGGCCTAAGATTCACACTACTGGGGTGGCCCCAACAACCAAAGCTAAAAATGTCATTCAAAGTGGTCCTGGATTGGTAGTGCCTTCAAATGCCCAACAGAGACAAACAGAAAATCCCTTCCAAAGAAATGCATCTTATAACCAAGCCTCAAAGAATTCCCCCACAAAATGTATTGCCTTAAACAAGACAGCAAACAGCAGAATCTAAATGCAACAGACTAGAGCTACTACCCTTATTCAGTACAGCATACGAAGTAAGAACATTTACTATGTTTAAGAAAATCAAATAAGGTATGACCAAAGAACAACAGACAAGAGATAACAAATGACCGGTTAGATTTGAGAAATATTTAAAAAGGACTTCTTGATATGAGAAGTATAGTCATTAAAATAAGAAACAAGTATAACATGTTCATTATTATTTGTAAGGGAGGGGAATTAGAAGCCACCTGCATCAACTGAAAAATAATTAGAAGATAAAAATATAGTAAAATAATTATATATTTGCATAAAGTTAAAAATACAGAATATTGTATATTATTAGAAATGCTGCATAGGATTATAGTAAAAAGCATTTAGAAGGACATGAAAGGATAAATATTAGTTTCCGATTAGTGGTTGCCTTTAATGGGAGAGGAGATATGACAAGGAGATATGACTGAGGACCTTGGCTCACTGGCCATGTTTTATTCTTAAACTGACTGGTGGATGTGTGAATATGTATTATATTTTCTTTTAGATTCTTGTATGTCTGAAATATTTTATCATAGCATTTTTCTTTTGTAAATGGAACAGAAAATTCAAAAGAATGATTTTCTTTCCCTTTATGCCTAGCTTATTTTCTAAAGGGTAATTACATTATTTATTTTCTTGTTTGCTTCTTGTTACATAAAGAGATGTTCTCCTGGTCTTTAACTCAACAACAGACTGAAAATAAAGCCAAGGAGACTAAGAATGAACTGGACTCAACAAAGCAACAGTCAGCACTGGAGGATGGGCTTTCCTGGTTGCAAATCAAGTCGCAAAGGAATCAGGAGCCATCCATGTGAAAGCCCAGGCCAAACTGGCTCAACACCAGGCTGGGGGCCTTGAGGAGGTCATTAGTCTTACCATTGCCACCAATAGCAAACAGTGCTTCTTTAAAGGCTAATCTTTTTTTTTTTTTTTATCCTCGCTCGAGGAAACTTTTTCCATTTTTTTGTTCAGATAGAGTGGGAGGGAGAGAAGAGAGAGAGAGAGAGAGAGAGAGAAACATCGATGTGAAAGGGACAAACTGCAACCGAGATACGTGCCCTTAGCAGGAACTGAACCCGGGTCTCTCTGGACCACAGGCCGACGCTCTAACTGCTGAGCCAAACTGGCCAGGGCAAGGCTAATCTTTTAACCCTAGATTTTTGTGCCATTTATCAGCATTTCCAGTACTGCTTGGTTCATGCTCAGTGAAGTGTGTTTGTAGGGATCCCGACGGGCATGAAGACAGTGGCGGACTTCTCTGGAGAAGGCAGAAGTCCTCTGGCCAAGTCATGTTGGAGTGTTGACTCCCCATCTACTCATCCATGTTCTTAAGGATCTCCTAGTCAAAGTTTCCTTGAGCTTCCAAACTCTCATGATTTATGTCACTACATTGTATGTATTTGCCCCTTACTCTCATGAAATCACAGAACATATAAGGAAAACAAGAGGTGAAAGTCACCTGCCAGAGAATAGATAATGTTGCAAAAATCTGAGTGAGTTAATTAAACAGTGTGGAAAGTGGCCCATTAATTTAGGTTGTTGAAAGAACCTATCAACTCATTTTCTTAGCAGGATATCTTTGGTTGGTAGCATTAACATGGTAGTTTAAATAAAAGAAAAATGTTAGTGTTTTTACAATTGCTCTGTTATTTGCCTTTAATCCTTTATGTGCTGGGTAATATTTCTTCTAGGAGTTGAGAATATTTTCTATGGAACAGAGGTTGAGAACGTACTTCCTGCCCACCCTCTTCCCACTTCCATATTCCGTTTCTGGATTTGGCCTTTACTCATCTATTTAACATCCTAAGCTGTCAACCACACAGGCTGACCCCAAAGACTGCCTTTTCAATTCTGAGCGAGGTCTTCATAGTAACACTTCTACCTCCCTTCCTGACTCTCTACCTCATTTCCCTCTCGCCTTTTCACCAACCGAATACTGTGTTCTGGCTGCAGATCTTCACCACTTGCTCTGCCTGCATCATGTTCAACCCAACTGCAGATTGTCAAGGGCAGGACTGGGTCATGCTCTTCTCTGTATCTCTCACCTTAGCACAGCTCAGGACAAACAATTGGTACTTCATAAATAGCTTCCTTTACATGGAGTAATCGTTAATACTTGTTAACAAAGTTGTATTTTTAATTAACTAAAGCTGAGATTTTTTTCAACCTCTTGAAAATATCAGAGTAATTCAAGCATATTGACTGGATTATGGTTTCTTCTTATTCCTTTTATAAACAGTATAAGGCAAATATCGTGTTTGTGTATACATGCTTTATAAATATTTTCTGATGATGGGAGTGTTGCTCTGTTACAGGAGTGTGTTGCACTGAAAAATCAATATGCTACTCTTCAACATAAGTATGGCAGCACTGACAAAGGAAACATTAGGAAAAGTGAAACAGTTAAAAGATGCAGCAGAAAAATTGGCTGGAGATACAGAGGACAAGATAAGAAGAATAACAAGTATCTCTTCTTTTCTCCCGCTTTATTGAAGTATAATGACAAGTAGAATTGTATATATTTGAACTGTATGATATGCCAATTTGCTAGATGTGTACATTGTGAAATTATTACCACAATTAAGTTAATTAACATATCACCTCACATGGTTACCTTTTTCTTTTTGCTATCTTTGAGAATGCGTAAGATCTACTCATATACACAATACACTATTATTAGCTATAATCAGCACCATCCTGTACATTAGAGTCTCAGAACTTACTTATAACTGAAAACTTGTATCCTTTGACCAACATTTCCCCATTTCCCCCACCACCACCACCCCCCCCCCCCCGCCCCTGGCAGACACCATTCCATTCTACTCAGTTTCTATAAGTTCAACTCTTCTTCTTTTTTTTCTTTTTTTTTTTAATTCTACATATGAATGGAATAAGTGAGATCATACAGTATTTGTCTTTTTCTGTCTGGCTTATTTCACTCAGCATAATGTCCTCCAGATTCATCCATGTTGTTGCAAATGGCTGAAATATAAATATATATATAATTTTCTTTATCCAGCCATTTGTTGACAGACACTCAGGCTGTTCCATACCTTGTCTATTATGATAAATGCTGCAGTGAACATGGGGATGCAGATATCTCTTCAAGATACTGGTTTTGCTTACTTTGAATACACACCCAGAAGTGAGATTGCTGGATCATATGGCATTTATTTATTCTTTCACCCACTCCATCAATTTTATAATAGCACTGTTATACTCCAGCAGGAGGTATAATTTTTACCAATATCAATGTATCACTGACACAGTTTAACCACATATGAGTCCACTAAGGAGAAGAAGTAGAAATTGGGAACTTGTGAAGCCAGACCTGGTTTGGGGGCAAAGGATAAATAAACTCTACTTCTTGATGGGAGAAACTACAAAGAATGCACAGAAATTAAGGGCAACAACCAAGGGTCTGAAGGTTCTGGGTGACGGCAGCAATGAGAAGCCATTAGCGTTTCTGGGCCTGAAGGAGCAGGGGAAGTGGGCCTGTGAACGCTGGGATAGAAGGGAAGAGGTCATGGTTTTACTTCACAGGATATTAATCAGCAGTCACTCTGTGTTAATCAGAACAAACTGAGATTTGGTCACCTTGAAACACACTTTCCTTAACCCAGTGGTTCTCAACCAAGGGTGATTTTTATCTCATTCTCTGGGGACAAAAATGTCTAAAACTAGCATCTAGTGGATAGAGGCCAGGCATGTTGTTAAACCCCCTATAATGCACAGGATACCCTTGCCCGTGACAAACAATTCTTCTGCCCAAAGTATCAATGGTATTGAGGTTGAGAAACCTTGTTCTAACCTATGCTGCTTATTTTCTCCCCATGTGCAAATCACTTTTTTGGAATCAGTATGATCTAGATTATGGGGCTCTAGGTCACCTAGCAAGGTCTGTAGGTAGCAAACTAGAAGGAATCATATTCTGGACAAGAATTTTGATTAAAATGGAAAATTTGGTGCACACAACTAGAATGCATACAGTGGAAAGTTCATTAGGGTTTTTGCTTTCCACAACTGATACTCATTATTTTTCTGGGCAATCATCGTGTCCTTAACTACCTCTAAATCATCAAGAAATAGCAAATGATGAGTGATCTAGTTTTACCTTTGGTTGTATGTATTGTCTCAGAAAATGTTTAAATAATCATATTCATTTGTAATATAAGTAACTCTCAAAGTTTTAAAATAACCTAAATCCTCACTTTTAAAGTTTCTTTGTTATAAAGTAAGTCTTAGGCCTTACAACCACTTATATAATCACTATGACAAAAAAAGAAAAGAGAAGAGAGGAGAGGAGAGGAGAGGAGAGGAGAGGAGAGGAGAGGAGAGGAGAGGAGAGGAGAGGAGAGGAGAGGAGAGGAGAGGAGAAAAGAAGAGAAAAGAAGAGAAAAGAAGAGAAAAGAAGAGAAAAGAAAAGAAAAGAAAAGAGAAAAGAAAAGAAAAGAAAAGAAAAGAAAAGAAAAGAAAAGAAAAGAAAAGAAAAGAAAAGAAAAGAAAAGAAAAGAAAAGAAAAGAAAAGAAAAAGCAACATTAGTGTGGCCCAAAGCAAAGAAAAATATATACCAAGCGGTTAACATTAGCTATCTCTGGGGAGGGGAGAGTGAAGAGGAAAATACACTTTTTACATTTATATATTGTGGCTTTTGTTTGTTTGTTTGTTTTTGTTTTTTTATTTTTTTATTGTTAAAGTATTTCAAATGTCCCCCTTTTTTCCACACTGACCCCCTCCTCCCCACTCCCACCCCCCTCTTGCTTTCCCCAATCTAATGTCTGTGTCAATTGGTTGTGCATATATGTATATAAGTATCTTTTTGCACCCCTCCAACTCCCTGTCCCTCTGAGGTTTATTAGTCTGTTCCATACTTCCATGACTAGATCTATTTTGGTCAATAGCTTATTTTGTTCATGATGTTCCCTAAATAAGTGAGATCATGTGATATTTGTCTTTCTCTGACTGGCTTATTTCGCTTGGCATAATACTCTCCAGGTCCCTCCATGTCATCTCAAAAGGTAAGAGATCTTTCTTTCTTAAAGCTGCATAGTATTCCATTCTGTAAATGTACAACATCTTTTTTATCCACTCATCTACTGATGGACACTTGGGTTGTTTCCAGATCTTAGCTACTTTAAATAGCACTGCTGTGAACATAGGGGTGCATATATTCTTTCTTCTTAAGATATATTCCTAGAAGTGGAATCACTGGGACAAATCGCAATTCCATTATTAATTTTTTGAGGAAGCACCAACTTGTATCTCATAGTGGCTGCACCACCAGCAGTGTGCTAGATTGAGTACCCTTTTCTCCACACCCTCGCCAGCACTTGCTGTTTGAAGATTTGTTGATGGCAGCCATTCTGGCAGGTGTGAGGTGATATCTCTTAGTTGTTTTAATTTGCATCTCTCTGATGATTAGTGATGTTGAGCATTTTTTCATATGTCTCCTGGCTATTTGTATAACCCATCTGAAGAAGTGTCTATTCAGGTCCTCTGCCCATTTCTCAATTGGATTGTCATCCTTTTGCTGAGTTGTATGAGTACTCTATATATTCTGGATATTACCCCCTTATCTGATGTATCATTGGCAAATACGTTCTCCCAGAGAGTGGGTTCCCTTTTCATCTTGATGCTGGTTTCTTCTGCTGTGCAGAAGCTTTGTAGGTTGATGTAGTCCCATTTATTTATTTTTTTCCTTTGTTTCTCTCGTCTTAGGCATTATATCGGGGAAAATTCTACTGTGTGTGATGTCTGAGATTTTTCTGCCCACACTTTCTTCTAGGATTTTTATGGCTTCACGAGTTACATTTAAGTCTTTTATCCATTTTAAGTTTATTCTTGTGTATGGTGTAAGTTGGTGATCTAGTTTCTTTTTTTTTTTTTATGTACCTGTCCAATTTTCTCAACACCATTTGTTGGAAGAGACTGTCTTTTCTCCATTGTATGCTCTTGCCTCCTTTGTTAGATAGTATTTGTGCATACTGTCTTGGGTCGATTTCTGGGTTCTCTGTTCTGCTCCATTGATCTATATGCCTGTTCTTGTGTTCATACCAGGCTGTTTTGATCATGATGATATTGTAGTATAAATTGATATCTGGTATTGTGATCTTTCTCATTTTGTTCTTTGCTAAGGTTGCTGCTGCTATTTGGGGTCTTTTTTAGTTCCATATAAACTTTTGGAGTATTTGTTCTAGATCTGTGAAATATGCCATTGGTACTTTAATAGGGATTGCATTGAATCTGTAGATTACTTTGGGTAGTATGGATATTTTAATGATGTTGATTTTTCCAGTCCATGAACATGTGTGTTTCCACTTTTTTTAATATCTTCCTCTGTCTTTTCCAATGGCTTGTAGTTTTCTGAGAACAGGTCTTTTACCTTCTTGGTGAAGTTTATTCCTATGTATTTTTGTGGTTGTTGCAATGATAAATAGGATTTCTTTCCTTTTTCTTTTTTTTTTTTTTTTAGTTTCCCTTTCTGGGTGTTCATTATTGCTGTATAAGAATGCCATCCATTTCTGGATGTTAATTTTCTATCCTGTTACTTTGCCAAATTCATTTATTAAATCTAGTAGATTTTTGGTAGAGTCTTTAGGGTTTTCTATGTACAATATCATGTCACCTGCAAATAATGACAGTTTCACTTCCATTTTTATTTGTTTTTCTTGTCTAATTGCTGTGGCTAAGATTTCCATACTATGTTAAATATGAATGGTGAAAGTTTGCATCCCTGTCTTGTTTCTGTTCTTAAGGGAAATGCTTTTAGTTTTTGCCCATTGAGCATGATGTTGGCTGTGTGTTTTTCATATATGGCCTTTATTATTTTGAGATATAATCCCTCTATTTCCACATTGCTGAGTATTTGTATCATCAGAAATGGTGCTGATTTTGTCAAATGCTTTTTCAGAGTCTATTGATATGATCATATGGTTTTTATCTTTCATTTTGTTTATGTAGTGTATCACATTTATTGATTTGCAAATATTGTACCAGCCTTGCGTCCCTGGGATGAATCTCACTTGGTCATATGGATAACTTCTTTAATGCATTGCTAAATCCAATTTGCTAATATTTTGTTAAGCATTTTGGCATCTATGTTCATCAGGGCTATTGGCCTATAGTTTTCTTTCTTTATAGTGTCTTTATCTGGTTTTGGATTAGGACTATGCTGGCCTCATAAAAAGGGCTTGAAAGTCTTCCTTCCTCTTGAATTTTTTGGAATAGTTTGAGGAGAATGGATAATTCTTCTTTGAATGTTTGGTAAAACTCTCCTGTGAAGCCATCTGAACCTGGGCTTTTGTTTGCTGGGAGTTTGTTGACTACAGCTTCAATCTTCTTAGTTATTATTGGTCTGTTCAAGTTTTCTATCTCTTCCTTGTTCAGTTTTGAGAGACTGTGTGATTCTAGAAAGTTGTCCATCTTGCCTAGGTTGTCCAATTTGTTGCCACATAATTGTTCACAGTGTTTTCTAACAATCCTTTGTATTTCT